GCATGGATTGTGCAGAATTATTTTTTTTAATACTAAACCAAATAAAAATCCCTAATTAGATTAGGCGTACCTCTCCTCGAAAGCACGGATCTATGTGAAATTGGTATTAAAAGTCACAGGCCGGTAAAAAAGCCAACGACTAACCCCCACCCACGCACCCCTCCTCCACACACACGCACACACCCTCCCTAACACACACTTAATAGGTTTTTTTCGTTTGGGAAATGAGTTTATTTTTTTTAATTTTATTTATTCCTTTATCTGTTTATTTTTGCTTGTGAAGAAATTCTGGGTTGGAAATTTTTTTACGAGGTGGTACATGTAAAATATTGTTGCGTGACATGCTGTGTGTAGAATTCTAACCTTCTCGCTGCTTCTTTACACTTGCCATCGTTATTTTTTTTTTCTAATGTAATGTTTATCACCGGAATTTCTTTTACCTATAAATTCCCAAAATAAAATCATTTCGCTTACATTTTTTTTCACAGCAATTTGGGCAATTATATTATACCAAACCCATAACTGATACGTCTTTTTTAAATTCAAAAATAAAACGAGTTATATATTAATTGGTAAACAACTGTAATGACATATGATGTATATTGCTTATATACTATGAATGACAGAGATCAAATGTTTTGACATACACGTGAGTGATCCACTTAAATCTGCAGATGAAGCTAAAACTTTTTTAAAAAGTTTTTAACGTTCCTTAAAATAAATAGATATAATTAAACCAATAGAGATTTCTTTTTTATTTTACGATATCCTGTTGCTTTGGAAATTCGATTTTTCATTGAAGTTTCATTTCTATATCTATAAACTGGATTAAATATAAGACCCCTCTCTCTCTCTCTCTCTCTCTCTCTCTCTCTCTCTTATCAAAATACTACATGAATGTAAGAATGATCTATCTTTAGTTAAGAACATTTTTATTTCCAAATGTAGTTTTTGCTTGTTAACACTGGAATATTAATCAGAAAAAACAACAACAAAATTAGGTTAAAAATTTTCCAACTGTTTTCATCTAATTCATATGGGCATCATTATTGAAAAAAAAAATAATTAAACTAAATTCAAATAATTTCATATCAAAATAAGTAGATACGCATGAATGAAACATATTTTGTAAATTTAAAATTTGATTCAAGGTTTCATCTATTTTTTGTTCTATAATGTTTTAAAATATCTAGTTTCCGTAGATATAAACACACCTTTATAAATTAATTTTTTTTTCAAATACATGGTAAAACGTTTGAACTGCTAGAAATAACATGTTTATAAAACATTTTTATACTACAGGAGCAAATTTCTATGAAGAGTGTTATTTGAAATATAAAAAAATTATATCATTGACCCTCTCTGGTGGGTGTTGCTAAAACGCGGAACGGAAAACGGAACGGAACGGAAAACGGAATATATTATTTTGGATTAAATCATTTAAAATGTACAAATTTTATCATAAACGATATATCTTGTACACATTCAATCCCCCACTATTAAATAAAAGTTGAATTTGTCATGCTCATCTCTTATTTACGAAAATCGCTAGCATAACAGTCACCTAGAATCGAATTTGAAAAGGGGGAGGGGGGTAAACGAACTTGAAAAGTATTTGACAAGCAAAAACACAAAAAGAAGACAATTGTTTGATTCATGCAGGAGGGGCATAAAACACAAAAAGAAAACAACTGTTTGATTCAGGCGGGGGGATAAGTTTCAACTTCAACATCTTTCAGTACTATTTTTTTACACTAACTTACTAAATTAATTACATTCACAAAAAGTGAGGATGTGAACTTGAATGAACATTTCCGTAGTAAAAAGGTTATGACTAGGGGGGGGGCAATATTTGATATCTTATTGAACCACGGAAAGAGAAATAAAATGTAAAAGAAATATTAAGATCACGTTTAGTGCAAATCTTAACGGCAAGCTCGAATAAACATCTCTCATACTCACTGGTTGTTAAATTTTATTCAAAATAGAGTCGTTTTCTGGATAGACAAAGTAGGAAATCTTTCATGTGGAAGATATAATGCAGAATCTTTCAATTTAAACTTAAATTTTGTTTGTTTTTTGTTTGAGGTACATATGTTTGTATGTTGTGCGGGGGGGGGGGGGGGGGGAGTTGTTTATGAATGACCCCGTAAATATTCCCACTCATCAGAAAAGTCTTATAAGCTGTGATAGGTCTGAACCCCCCTCCCCCCTCTTTTTTGACTCCAAAATAAACATAAGATTTAATAAATCAATTTTTAATGTGGCTGTGGGTCCCTACACAGACCCGAAACTGCCACTCCCTCTTTCATCATTCGCGAATTCGACACTGCGTGCATAATCTGAATATCATAACTAGTTATTTTTGTCTTTACAGACATTGACATTGGAAACAAATTGAAAGAGGGGGTGGGGGTCAGAAAAAATTACAAACATACAACAAATTTGACGAGCAAAAATGGAGGAAATGTCCTTTGCCCAAACACGAAAATCCAATTTTGTGTGTGTGTTTGCATAGGCCTCGGAACCGGGGGGGGGGGGGGTCTTAGCCCCCTCTTTTTTCCAAACATATACTTAGTATAGACATTGAACATTGTTTCTTAGGTTTAGCCCCCCCCCCCACACACACACACACTTTCCACAGACACACTGCAGTATAGGTTAAGAATGGTGAAAGTGGTTGTATTTGGAAAAAAAAAATGGTTTTTAATTTCAAACTCCCCCCCCCCCCCCCTAGAAAATAGGATTTTTTTTTGCTTGCAAGGATTTTTTTGAAGGTATATTTTTTTTGCACTTAGCCCCCCCCCCCCCCCCCCCCACTTTAAATTTTCTTCCGACGCCAATGGTTTGTGTGTGTAAGGGGGGGGGGGTCGAATTTCAGTACCATTTTGTATGTGTGTATGACTCATAAATATATAATAGTTTACAATAAATTTTTATTAGAAGTGACTTTTACAACAAGAAGATTGCTCTTTATCTGATTTATATCGAATCTTTGTTATTTGCTTGAGAAATATTTTCCGTTTTCCGTTCCGTTCCGTTTTCCGTTCCGTTTTCCGTTCCGCATTTTAGCAACACCCCTCTCTGGTACCCCTTTTGTATTCCGATCGATTGTCAGAGTTACCGCTCCTGTTTTTATTTACAAAATTTCGCCTCTGTCATTTGTCCATTATTTTGCTAGATTCGGGAAACTTATAAGGATACCTTTCTTCTCTGTTGGAGGAAGTGTGTTTAGGTTTCAAATTCTTTCAGCATTAAAGCATTTTACAACCAAAATATGGAAGATCATGCACCGATGATTCAATGTTTACATGATTGATGTAAATGCTGAATGCTGGGGCGGATCTCATATACGCAAACGATTTCCTTTCCAATATTTTGATAAAATACCCGTGCCATACCCATTATTTCAGTTTTGTCTATACCAGTAAATCAAAATTTGTTTTTGTTCACCCATATTCAATTATTTAGAAAATTACTTTGTCTATAAATAATTGCCGATATGTACATGCATAGGAAACATTACCTAGGATCAGATACATATACCTATATAGCGATACCTAGCTAGATGAGCGAAACGGGTCTCAAATTCTAAATAGGTCTATATTTAAATAAATACCAGTGCACTAGAGGATCCTACATAAAAATTAAGTATTTTAGAAAAAAAAAATTAAATCAGTATTATATACAGTGGTCAAGTCGAAGCACAAAAAGATAGACGTGTGAAAGCGTAAAACACGTGTATAAAAAAAATCTGCGACGACGCTCACCGTCTGCAACGTCATATCTTTATGACGTTATTTCTCTGTTCTAGAAAAAATGCCATAAGGACCTTTTGTCGTGGTGGCAATCATATATAAAAAAAATATTTGTGCATATTATGAAAATATTTGTTTTAATCCAATAACAATCAACATAAAATATCGTTACGGTAACAAGAAATTTTTAAAACTAAACTACCTACGTAAACCGTTTCTTAGCCGCCATTTTTATTTACAATAACAACGCTTCGAACGGAATCGCGTGCCCGATTTTCATATTACGCCTCGACGGAGACGTAATATGGAAACGGAGACGTAATACGGAAAATTTCAGGGCGTCATGTGATCAGCTTTTATCCAATCAGTAATCGACAAATTTGTCTGAAGCGGGATAAAGTATAATGTAAACACAGTGTAAACACACCCCCGTATTTAGGGGGATATATGTAATGAATTGACCCACTTATCCCCCAGGGGCTGTACTCTCTTGAACCCCCTATCCCCCTCAGCCCCAAAAGTGCACTCACTTGACCCACCTATCCCCCTCAGCCCCAAAAGTGCACTCAGTTGAACCCCCCATCCAGACGCCTTATACTACTAGTAAGAATATATATATTTCGTACTTTTCTTATTTTTAGATGGCATTTTGCATTATTAATTGAACGACCCTCGTAAACGCCTTAATTGGTTGTCGACCTTTCCAAATAATTTAAGTCGCATTATTACAGGATTCGAAATAAAGCAAATCGATGCAAGTGAAAAAATTCTTTGATGTTGTTTCGTCATGAACAAATAAGTAGAAAATTCACAGACTAAAGCGCTGATGGAACAGAACGTGTTAAGCTGAGAGCTGTTTTATGGTTGTGATGCACAACAATTTAACAAAATGCTTTTTGACATCAAACGGAGGATCGTTTTATTTAAAAACGTACATCGAAGCTGCATTCATGGGAATTTCCATACGGAGACATTCTGTTATTGTTTGTGCGTTTTACAGAATGTAGCAGCTACTGATTAAAACGAAAATAATTTCCTTAATATTCTTCTAATAGATTGTTTGAAGTAAAAAGGAGAAATATTCCATAATGAATTAATGCCATCTCGTGTTTACCGGTAGAAGGAATTGAATTATCGAACGGACGCAGAATCGACAAATGGACTCTGAATTGACTCTGGGCGCGTTGAGACATTATAACGGGACGAGGATTCGTTAAAGAAGTGATTGCAAGATGTTCTAAATCCATCAAAGACAACAGGCTGATTACTGAAGCTTAAGTCATGCTTGGATTACTTTGGATAACATTTTTATTTGAAATCGCTGGTATGTATATTTAATTTATTGTGAAAAAAATAATGAAAAGAAAATGATCAAACCATTTGAAAAAAATTCTCTGCTGACTTTCAAAAATTCTTTTATCTAAAGATAAATTTTGATTTTTTTTGGGGGGGGGGCTGGAGGTCTTAAAATATATTTTTGTTTTTCTAATTTTATCAAGAAGAATCGGTGTTTTGAAAATATTGTAAACTATTTAATTAAAGATCCCACTGACTGCTTTTTAAAATAAATTGAAAATATCATCCTTGACTGTATCAGTATAATCAGGTCGTATTCGTCAAGTTCTTTTTATTAATTGTTCATAAAAACTGTAGAGGATATAACTGCGAAGGTAATCCATGTATTTTTGTGATAAAACTGATACAGCAATTGGGTTTGCATCACATGACATTGAAACATGGGGATACATTTCCTCATCCCACTGCGAAGCGCTCCTGGTGATAACTTGCCTTGCTGTTCGCGTCCAGTGTTACCGATCATTATGAAATAAGGAGAATCCATTCAAACCACAGGCACTTGTTTCGGAAATATAAAAAAAAACATAGTATAATAATTGTATCATGGGTTAAAAATTTATTTCCGAAACAAGTGTCTGAGATTCAAACACCCGAAGTGTATTTACTTTTCTGAAGAAAAACTGAAATAGGAATGTTTACTAGTATTTATAGATCAAGTCGCCGTTACTTCTTATTCCTGGATTACCAACGGTATATAGTTTTAATTCAAAGAGGCTAAATAAAAATTTATGTCAAAAATTTGATAATGCATAGCGACTTTCATCGTCATGGATTCCACTACATAAAGATGAAAATTCTTGTAATGAGTCTATGATAATGTAAAAGTGTAAAATACATACAACGTTTTATAAACATAAAACTTTCCTTGCCCCATATTTACTCCAGCATGCTAGAGGTTCACGGCGAGATACCGGGTATACCTTGACTTGGCGCCGCGGGTATAAAGGAACATAGGGACGTTAACCTAGGCTCTTAGGACAATTCCCAGTTAAGGGGGGACCTATGTCCGAAAAGTCTTTGTGTGAATTTTTCAAAACTTTGACATTTCTTTCCTGACCACTTGATCTTAATTTTTAGGTATTAAAAACAATACCTTTATATGCTTATTTTTACACAGGAGCACGTGCAAAAACAGTGTGAAATGCTAAAAATAGATTATTTTCAGACATTATCTTTCTACTCCAAAAATGCGCTAAAAAGAACAAAAAATGTCAAATCACATTCGAAATCAACATGTATTTAATTTATATGACTTGTATCTTTGAAATGAAGGCAAATTCATTGTAATTCATCTCACATGAAAAATTATAAAGGAGCACAATGTAAGTATCACCCCGTTTTTCGTGTCGTATTTTTTACAATTCCGACATGCATAACAGGTAATATCTTAAAAAGTCTTTGTGTGAAAATGTTGTAATTCATATTTTTTTAATGAAATGACCCCTCTCTTTATTTTAACAAGGAAAAAAGTATACCTTTATGATATAATAAACGAGAAATATGACGTTTTCTTTTATTTTCGTACTCTTCTGTCATATATATTGACCTTTCTGCACTAAAAAAAAAGGTAAGTTAGCACTGACAAACATCTGAATATAAAACTATTTTGCAAAACCGAGTATTTTTTTTTTTTGATAAGAAATAATTTAAACAGATAAACTCTTTTCTTCTTCATTCTAATCATTCTGCCCCCCCCCTTCCCCATGAACAACTAACACCTAATAGAACCTAAGAATGACTTTCTACAGTAAAATCTACATACACTATAAATCAATAAGTAATATAGGTACAAGTACATTTCTTAATTTTTTTCCTAGTTTTATCCAGAAAATACAATAAATGGTCATCATAAAATTAAACATATTTCCCTAATTTAAGCCGCTGTCTTTGCTGAATTTTATCTTATATTTTTTGCATTTATATATCAGCATATCATAGAGGTATTTCTTCACAACTGAAATTGCTATGAATTATCAACCAAAGGAAGAGAATTCTGATATTAACAAACTCCATAAATCATAAAACTGTTTTAAATGATGAAAAAATTTTCTTTTTGTAAACTGTGTACGTTTTTGATTAATAACAATGTTATGCCTATAATCACAGTTGCAAAAGTCAGCGGGAAAAAAAACAAACGTCGCTATTGTGACGTCACATAACGCTGCTTTGACGTCGAACGACATAGGTCCCCCCTTAAGCTTAGACTTGCAGTAAAGCGTGGTATTCTCGATGTTACATAATTAGCTTCTGAAATTTACACAGCTTTCATTCACTGTTGAAATATACATAGGAAAGAAATTCGGCCGAATGTCAAATAGTGTAGCAAATAGCCAATTAAAAGTTCTCGCACGGCACAGAGGCGGGGCTTACGTCGTCTCATCGTCGTCGACAACAATTTAAATTTCCTGATGTTATTTTAATTTCTTAACCAATGAGAATCTATTCGCCATTTGACAGACGCTAATTACGTTGCACCGAGAATGCCACGCCTTACTGAAAGTCCAAGCTTACCTGAGAATTTTAATACTCGTAGGAGTACCCCATTTTCAAAACATATAATAGCTCCAAACTGTGTCTTCTCGTTCTATAGTGCATACACGATATGCTATTATGCTAAACGATTGAAGTCGGGAGCTTCTTTGATCCAAATAAGAATTTTCAAGAAATTTCTCAAAAATTACAGAACCATTTTCAAGTGAGATGTATATACATCACCCCCAACCCCCCCCACCCCCATCCCCCCCCAAGTATATACCATCTCTTCAAACAGACGCAAAATAGCTATTTTCAAACTAATCTGGAGAATGGATTTCTTCTTATATATGTCCGGGGGTGTATTACATTAGCTTGAAAGCAGCACAAATATACTCCGTTAATTTCTAATACATATATGGCTACGTATATTTCTTTTTTTTCTATAGCATTTAGAGAAAAAAACATATATCAATGAATTTATTTTGTAGAATGCATTTTCATCACAACACCGGGAAACTCGAGCAGAATCAAATTGAGTCATTATGGAATAACTGCAGAGAATCGATTTTCTTTGATATTTAGGGTAAAAGCATGTGGTTCCGCCCATATATTCTTACTGGATTCAGAAATCCTTCCAACTCTAACTAGAGAATTCATCTTTGGATATAAAAACAATACAAAATGCGAGTTTGGAGACGATATATACACTAAATTTTCCTATGCGTGTTCGAATACTTGTGATTCATTTGATGATTATTGGATTTCATGGTACTATGTCACTCTTAATGTTGCCCAGGAATGGAAAATGGGGCGCGGCACTGACTTATCAGATGGACTTATCGGAAGTTTTCCCTGGTCAATAACGTTTTACCCCAAGTATATTGAAATATCATCGACCGATCTTCCTGCAGAGTGGGAATTTGGTAAACAATTTATACAGTTTTGAATACAGTAAAAGTAATTTGTAAACAAAAAAAAATCATTTTAAGTGTTAAATATAATGAAATGTAGAGAAAAAAATTAATAAGCAAAGTTGAGATGTTACGAAAGCTACAGTTAATATGTATGGCACGCCAAATTCACAAAATTGAGCTAAACATAGTTTCACAGTTGATAAACTAGGTTTATCGACTGTAAATTATAGTTTACAAACCGTGAACTACAGTTAAGAATTCGTTAACTAGATCTAGAGTTTTCATCTGTAAAACTATGTTTAACTGTTGTTAACTATAGTTTACGAATGCTAATCTAAGTTTATATGTCTGTAATAAAACGTTAACAATAGATTTTGTTGATAAATATAGATTCACATCTGTAAACTATAATTTACAATCGTGAACAGTTTCTATAGTTAAGAGTTGTTAATCATAGTTTCGCAAATCGTGAAACTATATTTATCAGATCGTTAACTATAGTTAAGAGTTGTAAACCATAGTTTACAAATCGTGAAACTGTATTTATCAGATAATCTGTGTTTTGCAATCGCAAATGATTGTTTTCAGTGTTAAGTATAGTTTACGGTTCTAAAACATAGATTATCGCGTTAACTATGGTTTACAGATATAAAATATAGATTAACGTTGCTAACTATAGTTTACAGTCTGTAAACTATAGTTTACAACCGATAAACTTAGTTTATCGACTGTGAAACTATGTTTAGCTCATTTTTGTGAATTTGGCGTGCCATAAATATGGTATATGTGTGTTTTGTCTTCATGACACAGAAATTTCATCGAACACAACACCATTAGATTCAGAGACGACACAAATACCAACAACAGCAGAAAAATTAAAAGATCCCACGACAATTGAACCAACAACATCAACCTTACTGACGGAGATTATCACAGAAACAACAAGGCCATCATCAACAATTTTAACGATGACGTCATCGACCACGTCAACTCAGACTGGACAGCCATCTTCGAGCGAGACAACGACAGATTCGTTCTGTTACTGTCCCTCTGATAAGTCTTGTAGCTACAGAAACTATACAGACGAGGAGATAAGTCAGATGATAGAGACGATGATCAAGGAGTTAAAAGTCAGTGTGAAGGACACAAACGCCTATAGAAGACGACTGATTTCCGCGCCTGATGACCGACCGTCTGCTCAGCGCATGGGCGGAGTGGGCGCTATGGTCATCTGCCTCGTCATCCTTGGGATAGTGCTTATGGACGCACCCCGTGTCGTCAATTTCTTTAGATATCACGATAGAAAAACTGAGTACTTGAAAAAGACTTCCAAAAGAAAAAAGTCTAAAAAATAAGAATTAATCCTTTTTATGAGTAGAGAAACGATTGCATTTGGTGTTTTTCAAAATGATAAATAACCTTTCCTAATATTATTTATAGAAATATCTTTTATTTTCATACATAGCTTATCGTTTACTGATATAGAATCAGGCTTTTTCACATTTTCTACGATTGTCTCATATCTTCGTCCAGAGTATTTTGGGTACAGTAATTAATTATATGAATGTTTTGTAGTAATCAATCTTTTAACACTTTTTTTTTAAAGAAATGCGCCTAGAATTTTGCAAGAGTTAATGTTAATACATAACCGTAACTTTTGGCTTTTTTTTTGGGGGGGGGGGCTATCTTTAACTTTTTAGCCGGGCTTTGCTGAAAGCAAAGTCCTGGCTATAGCATCATGATCGACTGTCTTACTATAAATAGCACAGTAAACAAAAAACCAAACAGCGTCAAAGCAGACGCTTCCGATAAACAAAATAAGTCCCATTGCGAGACGATATTCAAACAAATATTTTCAACATCCCAATCGTTGGAAAAGTTATTGATCAATATTTTGCTTGAGAATTAAACTGAGAGAGAAATTAGATATTTGCTTTATTGGGATAATCGTGATAAAACAATTAGTGTACATACGCTGCTGAATGCATATTGTAAGCGAACTATTTTCAAGAGCGCGGGTTTTTCGAAATGTTGAAATTATTGAAGAGTTTCATGTTACATATAGTTTTAGTCGATGTTGTGTTACTGATATATGAGATACAAACTGTACCTTTTAAAGATCAATGGCCAAAATTAAAAAAATAAATATGTACTAATTTTGGATCAGACCTTCTTTCAATGCTCTGATTTTATCAGTCACGTAAAGAACAATATGTTTTTGAAGGATGCATTTTATTCAAACAGTACACTCCATTTGAAAATCTGATAACCACGCATAAGCCCCAAGGCAGATAGATTAAATAGAATTAGAAAATCTATGACAACATATTTTCCAGATTCATTGATGTATTATTGAGCTTTTTTCTGAACGAACGCTTGAGTTCGCAAAAAACCACCCAGATTAATAATGAACAAGGAAATTCAAAGAATTTTGATCCCCTCGCTTTCGGTGTCTCGATCAGTGCATGGATGGGATGCCATTATTTATAACATATTGTCACATATAAACGCTCTAGAGATATCACATGTCATTCAAAAGTAATCACCAAAGTTAAAATTTTTAAAAATTAGGTCAAACATGAAGGTCAAGGGGTCAACATCATATCATGCTCGGAAAAGTTTTGTTAATTGTAATGCGCATGTAAAATATGAAAGCTATGTACGTCTTTTCTCAATCAAAATTTATGAGGAAAAATAACTTTTGAAAAATTGCTCAAACTTCAAGGTCACAGGGTAAAAAAAATCATAATACATTGTATATTTAAAAATGGCTTGTCACGGGTAATATACCCGTGTAATATAAAAGCAATATCTTTTCTCTTTCAAAAGTTATGACCAATTTATAGTAATGATAAAATTTTAGACAAGTTTTGTTTTGAACATATTTATTGTATAATTCATACAACGGGATTAGTTACAAGTTCTTGCAACTTAGAAAAACCTCTCCCTGTAATATATACAATACTCAGTAATTAAATTAGTGATTGCCAAAATAACAAATATTAAAGGTGTAAAGTTATACATATACATGATAAATACAAAACATTTCAAGTTAAGACACTTACTGAAGATTCAGAGTTCTTACAATATATAAATCTATAATATTACATGTAAATGATTTAGACAAGTAGATCAAACTTCAAGATCAAGGTCACAGGGTCTAAAATCATAGTATATTTCGAAAGGTCTTGTCACAGGTCATGTCGCCCTATCGCGCGATTAATGAAAGTGTTACAGAAAGAGGGAGGGACAGACAGAGCAACATTTAATATCCACTTTTTGTGAAAACGGGGGACAAAAAGACGTCGCACACGATGTGCCAATTTCGGTAATGAAGAAAGATGTAAACACATAGAGCTTACGTCACGTTATAACGTTAGAAAATTCACTAACTTTACTTTTTTGACTTACATTTTTGATGAAAGAAAAAAATATGTCTGGTTTTGTCAAATTTACTTGTAGAATGCAGTTCATAAAAATTTATTTAATTTTATGCCATTTCGTAGGCGTGGTTTTAAACAAAGGTTGATATAAGTGTTTGTATTTTAATGAATTGCACTTGGTACCTATTCAAAAATATTATAAATTTACATACATGTATATAAATATAATTTGTATTTACCATACAATTGCTCTTCTTTTTTTTTGTTTTTTTTTTTTGTTTATATATTTGCTAAATACCCAGGGTATATATCAAAGAAAATAATGTCTTTACGCTGTACATTTCTTTGTATTAATTCCCACACTTTTTTTCTGTTGCTATAGCTATAGAATAGACGACAAGACTGGAAATTTCCTTAAAGTACCACTATATTTTTCTTATAAACAATTATATGTACTAGTACTTGTATAAAATAGGAGAAAATGTGAAGATACCAACACTTTATCACAGTTGATAACTGTACATTTTCAAATTCTGCATTGGTATGATTTTATCTATCGTTCAAGTTAACTCAAAATGTTGTTGACCTCTGTTTTCCCTCAAAGATTTTTTTATGAAAACATGGTGCAATGGATCGTATCAAGATGCCAATATTTAGATATATTGGACATAAATAAACATTATTTATTCATTCTGTATTTTTCGGAAATCTTTTAATCAATTTTAATTGTAAAAGCGTTCACTTCGCAGTTTTATGTGGTTTTGATATTTTTTGGTTTGCTTCCTCCAAAAGGGGTGTCGGTCTTTGAAGTTCTTTTAGTGGGCCCTGATATTAAGGGGTAAATGAATGTAATTATTTAGTCTTATTTGATGAATTGTTATGTCTTTCAGGTTGTTCATCCTTTTCCACGCCAAACATCTAAAGGAATGACTATCAATTAAAATATCAATAATTCTGCTATAGAATCCGATAATAACCTAGGTTGTTATGTTTCACCTCGGTGAGTAGTGAGTAAATTGAGGATATTCCAATTCAATGTTTCCTTAATTGTTGGATTCAGAATTTTTTTTTCAAGGATTGGACAAGACAATATTTTCCAGATCGCTGTTGACAAGCATGAGTGCCAAAAAAGTGTTTGTGAAATGCCCCGTCGAAGATTGAAAGAATGACTGCACTTAAGCTATGAGAGTTGGATCCCGATGTTTTGCGCAAAATAAAATTCCAAAATTCATTAAATTTATGTTTTATAGGTATTAAACGATATCTTAAGAGCAAGTTTTGGTATACTATATTACATGAAAATAATAAATAATATCGAGCGACACTAGCTTTTGAGACGGGGGTCTAACAGTTTTGTATCATTTCTATTGTTATTCATATGCATACCAGTTTTCAACGACTTTGTTTACATCGAGCCGCAACTTGGCCATTTTTCTTATTTGCACAGAATGTGTATTTTAACTTAAACTTATACATATCCAAAGGACAATGTTGGCCAAGTTGCAGCTCATACCTAATTTTTTTAAAAATGTCCCAAACTAGGGTCGAGATAGCTACTAAACAAGCTAATTCAGAGAATTCGTGTCCCCCGCTTAGGGAAAAAGTCGGCTCCCCCTGACTGAATTTGTAGAATTATTAAATGTATACATGTATACTGAAGGAAATAAAATACATGTATGTCAATATGCATATATAGATTTGATTGCTTATTCTTTATTATGTGTATAGAAGATTTTTTTACATGTGTATATGGAATATTTATCACACTGTAATGATGATTTTATAACCTCATAAATTTTTCATTTCACATGCTGAATACTACCATTTAGTAAAAAAAAAAGTATTTAAAAAAAAAGAGAGAAAAAAAAGGAAGGATCGACCGAGATTCGATCCCGCGACCTCTCACATTTGAAGCGAGAGACATAACCACTACACCACAGTGTCATTTTATAATGTGTGAAGTATATGCAGAACTGAAGTCACATACATGTATATATTCATGTTTTCATGTTCGGTATTCTCAAAATTTTACACAATCCATGGTGTTTGATTTATTTAGCCTTTATTAAACAGTTATAATAGATGTAATAAGAACATAAAGTCCGCCGAGAACCTGTTTTATACGCAATAACTCTCCTCATGCCCCTCCGCTAAAAATAGCGACATGTAATACTATAAATACTAATAAAACAAACGGGGCGGGGCACTTTGAGAGGGGCGAGAGACGTCCTAGGGAGTTTTGGTATAAAATTACATTGCATAAGCTCAAAATCTTCTTGAAATATCGCCCGGAAATGATAGTGTTACACACAGACAGAATGTATAAATTTACGACCTTGAACTTTGACCTTTTGACCTCAAAATCAATAGGGGTCTTCTTTAGGCCACAGGGAGTTGTTATGTAAAATTTCATTGCGATAGCTCAAATGGTTCTAGAGATATCGTGTGGAAACGAAAGTGTTTTAACAGACAGAATTTGCTTATTTATGACCTTTGACCTTTTGACCTCAAAATCAATAGGGGTCTTCTTTAGTCCATAGGGAGTTGATATGCTAAATTTCATTGCAAAAGCTCAAAGGGTTCTCGAGATATCGTGTGGAAACGAAAGCGTTACAGATAGACAGAAAGACGGACGGACGGACGGACGGACGGACAAACCCAAATTAATATCCCCCACTTTTCAAGCGGGGGACAATTAACCGGTCACCGAGCATCAACGATTGATATTATAATCACCTTACTCACGTGACATTCTGCTGTTCGATACGCTAACGCTTTGATTCATTGAAAATTTCATTGTGTTTAAATTCTCTGTTGTGGCAGTATCTATCGTACTTCCAACTTCAAACTATGGGAGATTTTTGCGCAAATTTTAATAGGGTTTGAAGATAATATGTCGATCTCTTATTTAACTTTATGCTTTTCATTAGGGGTGTTTTGAAAGAATTCTGGTATTGACAGTGTCATTAGTA